AATAAATAAAAAAAAATTAGCCGGGCATGGTAGTGTGCGCCTGTAGTTCCAGCTACTTGGGAGGCTGAGGAGGAAGGATCGCCGGAGCCCCGTGGGTTGAGGCTGCGGTGGCTGGGAGTGGCCACTGCACTCCAGTCTGGGCGACAGAGACTCTAACTCAAAAAAAAAAAAAAAAAAGAACATGACAACTCAGAATATTCCACTTTGCCATAGACCACCAGAGCTTATTCTTCTTATCCAACTGAGACTTTGTGTCCTTTGACCGGTGAACGGACATAAGATGGAGTCAACATAGCCCAAGAGCAGCCATTTTAACATCGCCTAGTCTTGTCATGGTTTTCTAGCAGTGCACTTTAATTTACCCTCTAATCAGTAGCCAAGGACAGAACTGGTTTCTCAGAGGTCGCTATCGATCCTTGTTTCACAACTCCTCCCCAGCCCGTTTTGTAAACTGAGTTAACCTAATCAGCTCTTCATGACCTTCATGACACAGACCCTATCAACATGGCAGCAGTCACGTGACTAACCCATCCCTCTTCCTGCTGCCCATCATTGTGACATCATACCTGTGCTTACCTGTCCCCTTCATGATGATGTGAAGGAGACCACCACCCAATCACCTTAATGATCTGTCCCCATCCAAGGAAAGGTTTAAAAGCATTTAGCTTCAAGCAGCCGTGGGACATTGCTTTGCTAAGCTCTGGTGCGACCACGTGGCTTTTGAGCTATGGTCACCATGTTTTCCCAAGCTTTGAACCCCCTCCCCTACTTTGGGGAGGTGAATTTCCTCTCTCTCTCTCTAATTTACTTTCTAAATAAACTATTTTTTCCAATCTAACTTCTGTGCAATTCTTTGGATCCTTTCATGGCACCAGACTGCAGACACCCCCGTTGGGTCTGACCTAACATTTTGGAGGCCCCAGGGAGATTTTGACCTAACAATTCACATCTCCCCCTCCCCCTTCCACTTTCCCTGACTTCCAACCTTTAGCCTCTGATAACCATCATTCTTCTCTCTACTCCTGTTGCAAGCATGGTGACTAGATCTAAGCACAATGTATTGCATATTTCAAAATTGCTACAAGAGTGAAAACTAAATGTTCTCACCACAAAGAAATGGTAAGTATAAGAAGTGATGGGTATGCTCAGTAGCCTGACTGGATCATTTTACAATGTGTACATGTGTGTAAGATCACATCGTGCTCCACAAATATATACAATTATGTGGGGCATGGTAGCTCGTGCCTGTAATCCCAGAGCTGAGATGGGAGGTGCAGGTGATCCTCCCATCTCAGCTTTCCGAGTAGCTGAGACTACAGGCATGAGCCAACACACCTGGATAATCTATTTTATTTTTTGTAGAGACAGGGTCTCATTATGTTGCCCAGGCTGGTCTCAAAATCCTGACCTTAAGTGATCCTCCCATCTTGTCCTCCCAAAGTGCTGGGATTACAGGTGTGAGCCACTGTGGCTAGACTTAATATGCATATATGTTAATAAACTTCCACTTGTTTGTCTTCTGTTCATCTGTCTTTTGTTACAGGGGTCACAGCTAAGAATTCAGAAGATCAAAAAAAAATTATGTGCTTTTCTTCTATAGACCCAAGACCTTTTATTAAGGAGGTTAACTCAGCATTGTTCCATGAGCTCAGCATCTCTTGGGGATAGGGCAGGGCATCCTCTGGGACACCATCCATACCTCGGGTTCAGTTCTGTCGATTGCCGTGAGGAAGAGGAGGTGGGCCAGGAAGAGGCAGAGCGAGAGCTGCAGGTGCAGCGAGGTGCTGGTGTTCTGGATAGCTTTGCACAGGAGGAAGGTGAGGGCTGCCAGGAGGAGGCACAGCAGGGAGAGGCCCAGCCCCACATAGGTGATGATGGTCAGCACAGGATCCTCCTCCTGGGATGCAGAAAAAAAGAGTTCATGGTCATACTTTCCTGCTCTGGGATTACAGGTCTTCTCTTTGGACTGTGGGATCCTAAACACAGGCACCCAGCCCAATGGTCATATGGGAATTGTCTGCTAGACTGCTTTTTTTTTTCAGATATATTGAGGTATACTTTTTTTTTTTTTTTGAGTAGGAGTCTCACTCTTTTGCCCAGGCTGGAAGTGCCGTGCCATAATCATGGCCACTGCAGCCTCTACCTGCTGGGCTCAAGTGATCCTTCTGTCTTAGCCTTCCAAGTAGCTGGAACTACAGGCGCATGCCACCATGTCCAGCTAATTTTTGGATTTATTGTAGAGGTGAGGTCTCGCCAATTTGCCCAGGCTGGTCTTGAACCCCTGGACTCAGGCAATCCTCTTGCCTCTGCCTCCCAAAGTGCTGGGATTACAGGCATGAGCCACTACACCTGGCCAGCCATAATTGAAAAGTGTTTTTTTATGCTGAGGGGTTGGGTTTTGCAGTACCAGTTTGACTGGAGAGTTCATGCTAATGCTGTGATGTATGGTGAACACATTTTTGCTCTGGAGTCCTGAGGTCATGCAGAGGCTGCATACTGATGTGACCGACCCCCAGTACCAATTCCTGAACACCAAGGCTCAGGTGAACTTCCCTGGTGGACAACGCTTCACATATGTTGCCCAGGCTAGAGTGCAGTGGCATGATCATGGTTCATCATAACCTTGACCTCCTGGGCTCAGGTGATCCTCCTGCCTCAGTCTCCCAAGTAGTGGAGACTATAGATGTGCACCACCCCACCTGGGTATTTTTGAAAATTTTTTTGTATAGACAAGGCCTCGTTATGTTGCCTAGTCTGGTCTTGAACTCCTGGGCTCAAGCAATCCTCCCTTCTTGGCCTCCCAGAGTACTGGGACTGCAGGTGTGAGCCTTTGTGCCTGGTCAACATTTAATGTTTTAACCCCATTTTAGCCTCCTCACTGCCCTGTTAAGTCAGAGATTCTAGGGGGATGGATGGCGTCCAGGACTTCTTGTGTGCCAGCACCCAGCCCACACTGTCAGTAAGTCCTCTGATTCCACCTTAAGGATATGTGTGTACAGTTGAACTTTCTCCCACAACCTCTGCTGAATCCCATCTCTTTGCAAGTCCACTCTTGCAGTACCCAATGTCCATTCTCCTGGCAGCCACAGGGATCTTCCAATTACATAAATATGCGGCATCCCCCATGCAAATTTTCCATTGCTTCCCATGGCAATTAAAGTGAAATCTAAGTTCCTGACCATGGCATTTGAGGTTGGACACATTTTCCCTGTTCTCTTCTTTCCAGCCTCATCTCTGTCCACTCCCGCTTTGTTCGACTCTCCTTTCTGGGACCCATCAACTTTGTTTTCTCTTTATGCCTCTATACACACACACACATGTCTCTTTTTGGATTCTCTCCTACCAGAAATTTTTCTTCAGTTTTTTTTTTAAATTAGGGTAAAACATAACATAAAATTCGCCATTTTATAGCATATAATTCAGTGGCATTTAGGACAGATGGTTCCCAATTTAGGATGGTTCAACTTTTTTTTTTTTTGAGTCAGAGTCTCACTCTGTCAGCCAGGCTAGAGTGCAGTGGCATGCTCACAGGGCTGCGGTCTTGACCTCCTGAGCTCAGGCAATCCTTCTGCCTCAGCCTCCTGAGTAGCCAGGACTCCAGGCACATCCCACCACACCCAGTTAATTTAAAAAATTTTTTTGTAGAGATGAGGTCTCACTATGTTGTCTAGGCTGGTCTCAACACCTGGGCTTAAGCAATTCTCCTATCCCGCCTCCCGAAATGCCAGGACTACAGGCGTGAACCAACATGGCCTGCCAACTTTAAAAAAATGTAGCAACAGTCAGAATACCACATGGATGTATCTCAAAAACATGATGCTGAGTGAGGCCAGGCATGGTGGTTCATGCCTGCAGTCCCAGCACTTTGAGAGGCCAAGGTGGGAGGATTACTCGAGCCCAGGAATTTGAGACCAGCCTGGGCAACATAGCAAGACCTTGTCTCTGCAAAAAATTAAAAAAAATTACCCGATGCGGTGGTGGTGCATGCCTGTAGTCCCAGCTACTTTGGAGGCCTAGGCGGAAGGATCGCCGAGCCCAGGAAGTTGAGGCTGCAGTGAGCTATGATCATGCCATTGCGCTCTAGCCTGGGTGACAGAGTGAAACCCCAATTCAAGAATTAAAAAAAAAAAAAAAAAAAAAAGCTGAACCATTCTAATCTGGGAACCATCTGTACTAAATGCCACTGAATTGGGTCTCGCTATGTTGCCCAGACTAGATGGATCTTGAATTTCTGGTCGCAAGCTATCCTCCTGCTTCAGTCTCTCAAAGAGGGATTACAGGTGTGAGCCACCACACCTGGCTTCTTTTTCAGTTTCTTCATAGCACGTATTACCACCTAGCAGGGGCCCAGAAAGTATTAGCTGAAGGAATGAAGCATTTACACCATACCTGGTTGGTGAAGGCCATCAGGACAGCAAAACTGGACAAGTGACTGGAGCTGCATATGGTGTGACTTCTGTTCACTTGTACCAGGGAACAGCCATCCCTGGACCAGTGGCCGCCCTGCTCTGTGCTCTTCCAGTAGACACAGAAGGCCTTTTTGTTATGGTGATTCATCTGAAAATAGAATGGACTTGTCATCTTCCTCAGGAGGGGACAATTTATAGTTGGTTTATGCCAGGGTATCTTATGGGAAGGCACCTGGGTGAGAAGTGGCTTGGGAAATTTCTATTTATTTTTTTATATTAGAGATGGGATCTTGCTACATTGCCTAGGCGGGTCTTGAACTCCTGGCTTCCATTAATCTTCCCACCTTGGCCTTCCAAAATGCTGGGATTACAGGCATGAGCCACCGTGCCCGGCCACAATTTCTGTGTTAAGTGGTCACCAGGACTGCAATTCTATTGGGATTCTACATAATGTGAACTAAATTCAAAGCTCTCTGGGATCCATAGTTTTACAAGATTTCATTGGTTTTAGGACTTTTCCTCTCACCATGGGGAGTCAAACAAAAATGGAGTTAGAGGCTCACGCATTTTCTCCCAAACTCACTCTAAGCCAAATGTCCTTGGTCTTCTCACACCAATTCGTCCTTGACCCCTTCAAATACAGCCATTGCTCACGTGATGAGAGGGGTGGTATAGTAGAAAAGCATTACAGAATAAAATGAGCTTTGCATCCCTTGTCTTTGTCTCAAGGGTTTTCAGAGCATTAATTCATGGGGCCAAGGACATGGATCAGAAGCTTTCTTGTTTGGGATCTGTATCTGCTTCGATAATCCACCGGTCATCCCTAAATTTCTTTCTTCTCCTTTTTGTTAGAGGTAATGTATGCTTCTGTGGACCAGGTTGGAGTGCAGTGGCATGATCATAGCTCACTGCAGCCTTGACCTCCCGGATCCAAGCAATCCTTTCACCTCAGCCTCCCGAGTAGCTGGAACTACAGGTGCCACAACTCCCGGCTTAAATCTAGCTAATTATTTTCTTCTTATTAAGTCTTCAGGATCTAGAAGTCCTGTGTGTATATCTGGAAATGCCATCTTCACAATCTCAATGCTGACCAGCCACAACTCAATTACTCAGTAGCCATGGGTGTTCCTGGCTACCACATCGGACAGTGCAAGTCTAGACCCACTGTCTGGGACTATCCTGACTATTTCCTCCAATCCTGACAGGCTCTAATCACAGCCGTGACCCACCTTCACATTCTGGAAAGTCAGCATCACAGACTTGGAGAAAGATATGTTCTTTTTGGGTCCAATGGCAGCACTCACGACCTTGGAGTTCAAGTACACTTTATCTTTCTTATCCATCTCTTCAAAAAACCTTGCATTTATGATGTCTTCAAGAGAGGAGTATGAGATAAAGGTGACTGCACTGGGACCTGAGCAAACAGAAACATGGAATATTTAAAAGTGTTGTAATAGCTGACTGTGGTGACGCATGCCTGTAGTCCCAGCAACTTGGGAGGCTGAGGCGGGAGGATTGCTTGAGCCCAGGAGTTTGAGGCCAGCCTGGGCAACACAGGGAGAAAGTTCACACTTCCTCCCATGAGCTTCCGACCCAATTCAAGCCATTCTCAGGACCTCGCTCCAACCCAGCCTTGGGCTTGGGATGCTTTCTCCAGGTCCTCAGACGCTGATGGTGTCGTGTCAAGGGGAATTTAGCTGTCCACGAATTGTTTCATTTGGAAATTGGGAGGTTCCCAGCATGGTGTCAAGCATGTGGTAAAGAATTTATTTATTCATTTGGAGTTGGAGTCTCACTTTGTCACCCAGGCTGGAGTGCAGAGGCACACTCATGGCCACCAGTTTCAACCTGCTGGGCTCAGGTGATCCTTCTGCCTCAGCCTTCCAAGTAGCTGGAATTACAGGAATGTGCCGCCATGTCCAACTGACTAATATTTTGATTCATTGTAGAGATGAGGTCTCGCCAAGTTGCCCAGGCTGGTCTTGAACACCTAGCCTCAAGCAATCCTCTCGCCTTCACCTCCCAAAATGCTAGGATTACAGGTGTGAGCCACTGCACCCGGCCTGATTTATTCTTCTAAGACATCTTTTTTATTTCTTAAAAAAATTAAATTACATTTCGGTTACACTGAAAGGAATAGATTAGACAGGAAGAATCACTTTTTGAAATTTATTACATAGTATAGTGACTATAGTTAATAATAATATATTGTGCATTTAAAAATTGCTGAGTGTAAATTTCAAATGTTCTCATCACAAAAATGATAAATACATAAAGTGATGGACATGTCAGTTAGCTTGATTTAATTATTCCACAATGTATACCTATATACATATTGTTTATAATAATACTATATTAATATATAATAACAAGTAATTATTGTAAATAATTATCACATAAACATATTTTATAAATAATAATATATGATATACATATATAATTTGTCAGAAAACAAAAAGAATAGAAAAACATAGCAGATATTTACAAGGATTTTAACATATATTACAAATATTATCATTTTTCTACATTGGCTTAAGACATTATTATTATTATTATTATTATTTGTTCTATTTTTTTTACCCTTTAAAAAAATTTCAATAGCTTTGAGGGATACAAACAGGTTTTGGTCTGGGCTTTAAGTGAATTATTTTTTAAAGATATAAAATATTTTTATTTTATTTTATTTTATTTTAAAGATGTGGGGAACAATTCAGGGTTAGGTATACAAACTTTGATTATGCAGGTACCCTTGTTGATGAGGTGTGCCCTTCCCTCCCCTAGCAGTTTCCCTCAACTGCCAATCCTCCCCGCCCCTGGCAGTTTCCTACTACTGCCAATCCTTTTCTTATAGTATTATGATAATTGTTCAAGGTCTGCTTATAAGTGAGAACATATGGTACTCTGTTCTTTGTTTCTGTGATATTTTCGATATGACCAAAGCTCTCACTACCTCATTCTCTTTCTTTCTTCTGCAGAAATAACTGTGGACTTGAATTTAAAGCATAGTCATTCCCTGAATACTTCTGTAACTTTAATATGTAGATATGTTTCCACAACAATGTATGGTATTGTTCTCTGTTTTAAAAATTCACATAAATGGCATCACACTTTAGGTATCCTTTTGAAACTTGTTTTTCCTCCTCCAATTAATATTCACAAGGTTTAATCATATGGATGCATATTTATTTGGTTCATTCATTGCAATTACTGTAGAGTAGCACATTATTTGACACACCACAACTTATTTATTGTACAAATAAATGATAAAAACCACTTTGAGATATCACCTCACACTGTAAGGATGGGTTATTATAAAAAGAACGAGAGATAACAAACATTATTGAGGGTATGAAGAAAAGGGAACCCTAATACACTGTTGGTAGAATGTAGGTTGGTATAGCCACTATGAAAAGCAACACAGAGTTTCCTAAATAAATTAAAAAGAGTACTACCAAATGACCCAGGGATCCCTCCTCTGGTATATATCCAAAGGAGGTGAAATCACCCCCTCATAAAGATGCCTGCACTCCTGTGCTTGCTGTGACATCATTCACAATAGCCAAGATTTGGAAACAACCTAAATGCCCATTGATGGACGAATGGATAAAGAAATGTTACACACACACACACACACACACACACACACACACACACACACGAGTATGATTTGGCCTTAAAAAAGAAGTAGATCCTACCATTTGCCACAACATGGATGGGCTTGGAGGAGGTTAAGGTGAGTGAACTAAACCAGACACAGAAAGAAAAACACAGCATGATCTCACTTTGCATGTGGAATATTAAAAAAGAGTTCAAATATACAGAGATAGAGAACACTGGAGACTAAGGGTGAGTGGGGGAAGAGGAAATGGGAAGATGTAGGTCTAGGGTTACAAAGTAGCAGATGTGTAGGAAGAACAAGTGTGGAGATCTGTACAGCATAAGGACTAAAGTTAATACAATTGTATTCTGTTGGGAATTTCTGTTAAATAAGTAGATTTAAGCTGCTCTTGTCACAAAAAGTATGACAAATCTGTTAATCTGCTTCACTATAGTAATCATTTACTATTAATATGTATCCCCTAACTCCATTTTGCAAACTTAATATACACAATAAAATTTATTTAAATATTATTTGGTAGAAATTATAAAATTTTGATGAGAAAAAATAAAATCTATACAAAATCCTAAACACTGTTGAAGCTCTGGATTTGTGTTTCCAAATATACATGCAGGAAAAATTGTCCAACATTTGTAAATGGGACAAAAATATGACTAAAGTCATATTTTTATGCCTTTACTTGATTAAATAAGGGATGACATCTAGTGTTCTTCCAGGGGAGAGCTGCGTCTTGTCCAGTGGACTCTTTGAGATTCTCTGATGACCTAGGGGTGATGAAACTTTGATATTTTTGTTGCCAAGCTATGTGACAGCTCTGTTGGCATAGAAGATAACACATAGAAAACATGCTCGTGCAAATGATTCTTTCCAGAGCTGCAAATGCATATTGTCTGGTAGATATACAGTTACTTTCTGTACTACAGAAAATATAACCCTAAATGTTACATTGTATTGCCCTGTAGAAATTTTTTTTTTTTTTGAGTTGGAGTCTCACTCTGTCACCCAGACTGGAGTGCAGTGGCCGCTCCCGGCCACCGCAGCCTCGACCTGCTGGGCTCTGGCGATCCTTCTGCCTCAGCCTTCCAAGTAGCCAGAACTACAGGCGCGCGCTACCACGCCTGGCTAATTTTTTGATTTATTGTAGAGATGAGGTCTCGCCAAGTTGCCCAGGATTCTTGACTGTCCTATACAGTCACAGACTTGCTTAACAATGGGAATATGTTCTGAGAAATGTGTCATTAGGTGATTTCATCATTGTGCAAATATCACAGAGTGACTTACACAAGCATAGATGGTATAGCCTATTACACACCTTGGCTATATTGTATACCTTTTATAATTATGCGGCCACTGTTGTATATGTGACCGATCATTGACTGAAATGTTATGTGGCACATGACTGTGGATCAATATTTACATGTGTGCATTTTTTCTTCAAATTGCCTTTAAACTCTTCTTACTCTTTTATTGCTTTCTTCATTCATTCATAAATTGAATATAATCTTTGACGTGCATTCATTTATATTTGCCTGAGAATCATTATTTTACCTTTTTGAAAATGATACATACATATGTAGAGATATTTATACATACATATGTGTAGCATATATACACACAGACATATATGAGGATCAAAATAAGTAGAAGTTACAGTATCTCTCCTCTTCTCACACTCTGAGGCAGACTTTGTGAATATGAACCTGAATCATTTTTTGTATTGAATGAGATAAAATTTAGGGGAAGAGAAGAATTGGAAAAGCCAAGAGAGGCTAAGTTGACTTATATAAGAAAGAACATGAATCTACCCTTGGGAGAAAATAATATGAAAGGTGGGAGGAGGGACAAAGAGGGGGAGAGGGAATTTTGAGGGAGAAAGAGAGGAGAGAGATTGATTGGGTCAGTAGTAAAGAGGACTTTTAGGAAGATCGGTGAGTCTTATGGGATGTTACTCCACTCCGTTCTCCTTTGCTGCCTCTTGAAGAGACTTCAGCATTGACTGACTTGTTTTTCCAGGGCTTTTGGAGGAAACATAATGTTGAGACTGGACCCAAGGAAGTGCATTTATGAGGGGGAACCCAAAAAAGCCAGAATTTGTGTATAAAAAATTGTATATTTATTCTTACATGTGTAAACTCCAGTCTCCTTCAAAGTACTCTCTGGTTAAGGCAATATACCTATTGAGATGCATTTCCCATTGCTCAAAATAATTTTTGAACTTTCGAGCTTTTTCCATTGCTCAAAGTCAATTTTGATGCCTTTTAGTGCTTCTGCCGTTTTTTGTTTCTCCTCTTCCACATCGGCATAAACGTTTCCCTTTGAAGACTTTTTTCATCCGGGGAAACAAACTAAAAATAGTCACTCGGGGCGAGATCGGGTGAATAGGGAGGGTGGGACATGGGTATCATGGTGTTTTTGGTCAAAAACTGCTGAAGGCTTAGTGTGGTGTGGGCAGGTACGTTGTCATGGTGGAAGAACCCGTCACATTTGTCACAACTCAGGACGTTTCTTCTGCAGCGCAGCCTCTCACAACAACACTTACTGGTACTGATGCTGTGGGTTTCTAGAACACTTACCAAGCAGGGAGGCCTGTACTACAAGGGCCACCCCTCCAAAAGATAATTCTGGTTTTTTGGGTCCCCCCCATATATTTGGATTACATACATGTACATTTACCTATCATCTATCTATCTATCTACCTACCTATCTATCTACCTACCTACCTACCTATCTTTCTATCTATCTATCAGCTGTCATCTATCATCTATCAATCTACCCATCTATCTTCTAGCCATCCATCCATCCATCCATCGTATCTATACATCCATCCCTTTATCTATCCATCCACCCATCATATGTATCCATCATTCATAGCTATCCATTCATCCATCCATTTTATCATCTATCTATCCATCCATTCATCTATTCATCATAACTACTTATCATCTGTCTATTTATCAATCATTCTATACATCCCATTCCTCTCTCTCTAATTTCCTTTCTCTTCCTATATCATGCATATAAAAACAAAATCTAGAAATAGATAATATACAGTTATGCACTGTGTGATGACATTTCAGCCCACAACAGGCTACATAAAATGGTAGTCCCATAAGATTATAATAGCATATTTTTACTGTACCTTTTCAGTTTAGATCTGTTTAGATACATGCATACTTACCATTGTGTTACAACTGCCTACAGTAATGTGCTGTACAAGTCTGTAACCTATGAGCAATAGGCTAGACCTTATGGCCTAGGAGTATAGTAGGCTAGACCATCTAAGTCTGTGTAAATGCACTCTGTGATGTTGGCCCAATGATGAAATCACCCAGTGACACATTTCTCAGACTGTATCCCCAGGGTTAAGTGTTTCAGATCGTATATGGAAATTATATATACATGTGTGTGTGTGTGTGTGTGTGTGTGTGTGTGTGTATTTTCAACATTTAAAAACAAATGAAATGTCCACTATGATATAATACACTCACTGATGCTTCTTGGAATCAACCTCCCAGATTTCTTCTTATACTTGTTTGAGGGTCTACTTCTGGGTAAACCCAAACTGAGATACAGGCAGAACCATTCTCCCTCAACCCCCCCTGAACTGCAAAGAATTATCTTTCATGGTGAAGAATAGAAAGTCTTCACTTTGGGAAAATGCCCCCTTTTTTTTTCTTAAAGGAAAAAACTTAAATGACACCATCTGAGGGTAACAAACTCATGAGCGAGGAGCCTACTGCTTCCTTATGCTTCCCCACGACTCACAATATCACCCTCTATGAAGGCTTCTGAGTGCAGTCAGTACATGTACCTTGTGTATTTCCCTGGACGATGTCATTGCAATGGATGTTCATTGAGTTCATCTGGGCACCCAAGTTGAATATCTTTCTTTCTTCAGAGCAATTGTCCGTAACCACTCGAGTTTCAATAGCTGGTAAGAAAAAGCAATGGGCAGGTTTAGCTATATTATAAGAAGATATGGCCGGGCTCGGTAACTCAGCCTGTAATCACAGCACTTTGGGAGGCCGAGGCAAGTGGATTACCTGAGCCCGCAGGTTCGAGATCAGCCCGGGCAACTTGGTGAGACCTTGTCTCTACAACAAAATAAAAAATAACTGGGTGTGGTAGTATGCGTCTGTAGTTCCGACTACTCAGAAGGCTGAGGCGGAAGGATCTCTGGAGCCCAGAAGGTCAATGCTGGGGTAGCCATGAGCATGTGTGCCACTGCACTCCAGCCTGGGCAAAGGGGTGAGACTCCAAAAAAAAGAGAAAGATATAAAATTGTGCATAGTAGCCAGGTGCGGTGGCATGCATCCATAGTCCCAGTGACTTGGGAGGCTGAGGCAGGAGGATCGCTTGGGCCCAGGAGTTTGAGACTAGCCTGGGCAATATAGCAAGATTTTGCTCTAAGAAAAATGTGCATATCAACATGAACAGCTCCCATTTACTAAATGTCCAGGACCTGCAGGCACCAGGCTAAGAATCTTACACATGTCTTCTTATAGCAGTCTCCTAGAACCCCCTGAGGAACTATTATACAGATGAGGAAATTAAAGTTTCAAAGTTAGGTAAGACTCTTACTCCTGAAACCAAGTTCTTAACTAACAACCCGTGGTACATTGTCTTTGAAGCAACGATTCTATTTCTAGGAATTTATTCTCAGGAAGCAATAATGGGCAAGAGGGCATATTTAGCTACAAAAAAGTTTGTAGCAGCATAGATAGTAATGGCAAAAAATGGGACGTTACCTAGATGTTCAACAAGAAGCAATTGATTAAATAAGTGATGACATTTTCCTATAACGGAAACCATGATTCCAAGAAAAATGAAGACATGGAATAGTTGCAATAAAAAACAAGTGTATGAAAAAAGGTCTCAATTATACCTCAAGAAAGTTGCCAAAAAAAAAAAAAAATCAAGCTCATGAAAATATTTAGCTTGAAAAGCAGACAGTGCAACACTGGTCACAAATTGGAAATTGTTGACTTGGGTGATGGGTGCATTGGGGCTCTTATTCTGTTTCCTTTTGTATACGTTAGAAAGATTTTTAAAAAACAGCAAGTAAAAAATAGCACACCAAGAATGACACTTTATTAGTAACATTTTATAGCACCAAAGAGTGGGAAAGATAGGAAAATCATAATTATAATAATTATCATCCTGGCTCTAAATACGTTACGTGCACTATTATTGCCCTCATGTTACAGATGAGGAGACTGAAGCCCAGTGAGGTATGGGCCCTGGTCCTAGACCAAACAGTTAGGACTTGGCAAAACCAGGAGAGATAAGACTTACTTGTAATCTGGAAAATGGTTTACTTTGGACCTGAGGTGATCAAATTCCAGTTTCCTCAGGTTAGGCACTCAAAACATGACTTTTTTTTTTTTGAGTTGAGGTTTCACTCTGTTGCCCAGGCTGGAGCGCAGTGGCATGATCACAGCTCACCACAGCCTCAACCTTCTGGGCTAACTGGAATCTGAGTTTTATTGGCTGTGTACACTTGTGAAATCAACACCACAATCAAGATAGTGAGCACTTCTATCACCCCCAATGGTTCCCCCAAATTTCCTCAAGCCTCTTTGTCATCCCTCCTTCTATCCCCTCCCTGTCACTACAGCTACGTTTGCATTTCCTAGAATATTGTTTTTTGAGTTGGAGTCTCACTCTGTCGCCCAGTCTGGAGTGCAGTGACACGCTCACGGCCACTCCAGCATCGACCTGCTGGACTCCGGCGATCCTTCCACCTCAGCCTTCCAAGTAGCCGGAACTACAGGTGTGTGCTACCACGCCCGGCTAATTTTTTATTTGTTGTAGAGATGAGGTCTTGCCAAGTTGCCCAGACTGGTCTTGAATCCATGGGCTCAGGCAATCTACTTGCTTCAGCTTCCCGAAGTGCTGGGATTACAGGCTAAGCCACTGAGCCCGGCCTTTTTATTATTATTATTTTTTGAGTCAAAGTCTCACTCTGTCACTCAGGCTAGAGTGCAGTGGCATGCTTACAGTCAGCGCAGCCTCAACCTACTGGGCCCAGGTGATCCTTTTGCCTCAGCCTTCCAAGTAGCTGGAACCACAGGCATGTGCCACTACACTTGGCCAATTTTTTTATTTATTGTAGAGTCAAGGTCTTGCCATGTTTCTCAGGTTGGTCTCAAACCCCTGGGCACAGGCAATCCTCTTGCCTCTGCCTCCCAAAGTGCTAGGATGACAAGCGTGAGCCACCGCGCCCAGCATGTTTTCTAGAATTTTATATAAATGGACTTGTGCAGTGTCCTTATTTGCCTAACCCAGACCCCAGTGACAACCAGTCCTCAGTACGCATCAAGCCTTATAATCTTCTTACCCATAGTACTTGTTTGGATTTTCTGGACTTCTTGCTCTGGGTCTTCCAAGGCAGTTTTGATAGCACTTACTTCCACCTTTCGGAGGCCAAATGTAACCATGGATGCCACTTCTTGCGTCTTTCCTGTTGTCCATAGAGTCTTATTAGTGAGAAGTGACTCGAATTTGTCAACAATCTGTTCCAGCTTTGAAAACATAAAGAATTTTTAAAATATATATCTTTTATTTTAAAATGGTGGGGTACAGTTAAGGGTTAGGTATACAAATATGCATTGTGCAGGTACCCTTGTTGATGAGGTGTGCCCCCCTTCCCCAGAATAATTATTTTTTTTTGAGTTGGATTCTTACTCTGTTGCCCAGGCTGGGGTACAGTGAAAGAATTAAAAAAAATCTCATCTGGGTTGGGCTCATGGCTGTAAGTCCAGCACTTCTGGAGGCTGAGGTGGGAGGATTGCCTGAGGCCAGAAGTTCAAGACCAGCCTGGGCAATATAGTGAGACTTTGTCTCTAAAAAAAAAAAATCTGGGCATGGTGGTGCACACCTGTGGTCCCAGCTACTCAGGAGGCTAAAGAGTAAGAGTCACCTGAGCCCAGGAGGTCAGAGCTACCGTGAGCTGTGATTGTGCCACTGCACTTCAGCCTGGGTGGCAGAGTGAGACCCCAACTCAAAAAATAAAAACCTAATCCGATCGGTCCCATATCCAAAAGGACAGTAGAAAGCAGGTTCTGGAGCCAGAGGAACCAGGTTCAAATCCTAACTCCACCATTTACCAGCTGTGTGACCTTGGGTAAATCACTCAATCACTCTGTGCCTCAGGACAGTAAAAGGAACTCATAGAGTTTTCTGGAAGAATAAGTGAGTTAAGAGATGTTATGCTTTTAGAACAGTATCTGTATCTGGGAACATCTTTTGCCAACAGGGCCATGCTAAGTTTGCCAAATATAGACTAGCAATTGTCAACTGAGAGCAATTCTACCCCCTCCCCATAACTGGGGACACTTGGCAATGCCTAGAGACATTTTATATTGTTATAACAAGGTGCTGGTTGCTACTGGCATCTAGTGAGATGAGACCAGGAATGTGGTTCAACATGCTACAATACACAGGACAGCTCCCACCACAAAGAATGACCTGGTCCCACAGGTTGTGATAAGTGTCGAAACCCTGAAATAGAGTTATAGCTCAGAGGACACTCTAAATGGCTTTTTTTTAAGTTTAGAAAATATAGTATATTTAAAGTAAATTAGAGAGAGAGAGAGAGAGAGAATTCACCTTCTCAAGGTAGGGGAGGAGGCCAAAGCCAAGAAGATGGTGACAGCCTTTGCTCAAAAAGCACATGGTCACACTAGAGTCTAGCAAGGCAATGGATAACTGGTCTTTTTAAATCAAGAAATTTGAGCCAGGTGCAGTGTGTCACACCTGTAATCACAGCACTTTGGGAGGCCAAGGCGAGAGGACTGCCTGAGCCCACAGGTTCGAGACCAGCCTGGACAACTTGGTGATACCTCATCTCTATAGCAAATCAAAAAATTAGCTGGGCATGGTGGCACATGCCTATAGTTCCAGTCAGTTGGAAGGCTGAGGCAGAAGGATAGCCTGAGCCCAGCAGGTTGAGGTTGCGGTGGCCGTGAGCATGCCACTGCACTCCGGCCTGGACAACAGAGAGAGAGACTTCGACTCCAAAAAAAGGAAAAGTAAATCAAGAAATCTGTCAGCTGGGTTTGGTGGCTCAGCCTGTAATTCCAGCACTTTGAGAGGCCAAGGCAATCCACTTGATCCTGCAGGTTTGAGATCAGCCCTGGCAGCTTGGCGAGACCTCGTCTCTACTGTAAATAAAAAAATTAGCTGGGCGTGGTAGCACATGCCTGTAGTTCTGGCTACTTGGAAGGCTGAAGTGGAAGGATTGTTAGAGCCCAGCAGATCGATGCTGGGGTGGCCATGAGCACGCCACTGCACTCCAGCCTGGGCGACGGAGTAAGACTCCAACTCAGAAAAAAGAAAGAAAGAAAGAAAGAAATTTGTCCATGAAGGCTAGCAAAGCAATGGGCCAGTGGCTGGGGAAGAATGAAGAGCCAAGGTGAAGTTTAAAATATTGTAATAGAGGTGATTTGAAAGACTATTTCTGTGCTGATCCTCCCATCCTTGCGCTCAAAGTGTGGTCTTTGAGCCGGCAGAATCAGCATCTCTTGGGAGCCTGCATGGAATGCAGCTTCTTGGGTCTCAGCTCAGGGGTGTTGAACCCAAATCTTGATGTTCATAAGCTCCTTAGGGGACTCATGGGCACATGAAAGTAGAAGACAGGAAATTTCATCTGAAGAGGAATTTTGTCTTTTCCATGTCTGTTTCCTAGCACCTAGAACAGTCTTGGCAGATAGTAGGTGCTCAATAAATGTTCAAGGGCTGAATGAACACTCTTAAGAGAAAATGCTATCACACCAAAGAGTTATAAGCAGAGTGATATTTAAAAAGGATGCGGAGAAAAGAGAGCATACACACACTGTTGATGGGAATGTAAATTAGTACAACCTTGATGGAAAACAGTATGGAGAGCCGAGCTCGGTGGCTCAGCCTATAATCCCGCGCCTTTGGGAGGCTGAGGTGAGTGGATTGCCTGAGCCCACGGCTTCGAGACCCGCCTGGGCAGCGAGACCTCATCTCTACAATAAATCAAAAATCAGCCGGGCGTGGTAGCACATGCCTGTAATTCCGGCTACTTGGAAGGTTGAGGTGGAAGGATTGCTGGAGCCCAGCAGGTCGAGGCTGCGGTGGCCGGGAGTGGCCACTGCACTCCAGTCTGGGTGACAGAATGAGACTCGAA